AGGTAAAGAGGGTATTATTTATTATTTTTCATTCGTATAAATCAATGCATTTTAATGAATTTTATGGTCGAACAATTTAAACAGCTATTAGAGGAATCAAAACCAGCAAAAGGCCAGAAGCAGTGGCAGTGTGATTATACTGCCGAAGATCGACTCCAATGTATGATATCTGTATTTTACATTTCCATGTATGTTACCCCTCAACTTGATAGAATTTTGCTCAAATGTATAACCGAATGTTGTATATACTCGTTAGATTGCATGAATCCTGCTATACATGATGCAGAACAGAAATGCAGATTCAATTAAGGATAATTGGAATCAGAAATTTAAATAATTTATTGCCTGCAACATCCGTTACTTCCACAATCATGATAATGTAGCACACAGACTTACAGTTTGGAACATTTTTTGGGGTCAAAACTCAGACAGGATGGATATTCGGAGAGAGTAGTCGTATGTTTTCATGCTGACAGTCAAGTAGTTGAGGGCTTCGTATATCTCGTCCTTTAAAGGATGATCATCATCCACGGAGACGAATTCACTGATTTCACTAGCCACCTCGATAGAACTACACCCAGGAGCCCTTCTCAGCTGCTTTATCTGATCTCTAACTTTCACTTTCTTATCCCACATCCCTTTGGCAGCATAGATATTGGACATTGCAACATTGTCCCCAACATATCCAGGCTCCAGCTCCAGCAATTGCAGCTTAACTTTTTCACCAAGCTCTATTTCTCCATTGATGCTACAAGCTCCCAACAATGTCCTCCACAACACTGCATTATCCAGGCCAGGCATCTCGGTAATGAAATGATAAGCTTCTTTTAGCAGCCCAGCTCGGCAAAAAAGATCGACCATGCAACCGAAATGAAGGTCTCGAGGCTTCAAACCATAATCTTCAATCATACTTTGATAATATTCCTTTCCTTTCTCAACCATTCCTCCATGGCTACACGCCATCAAAACCCCGATAAAAGTAACATCGTTGGGAAGAATTATCGAGCTTCCACAGTTACCCTCTTCCTTATTCTTGCTATTCTTCTGTTTTATTTCTTCCATTTCACCAAAAAGCTCAAGAGCTTCACTTGCTTGTCCATGCAATGCATGCCCCACGATCATGGAAGTCCAAGTTGTCACATCCTTTTCCCCTAAGCTATCAAACAGTTTCCTCGCAGTTTGTACCTCGCCACATTTCGCATACATGTTAATGAAAGCGTTGTTAAGGCTCAAGTCTGCCTCGAGCTCCGGTTTTCGCCTAACGTATGTGTGGATCCACTCTCCCATTTCTAACGCACCGAGATCAGCACACGCAGAGAGAGCAACCGTCAGTGTCACTTGGTCAGTTTCCACATTAAGCGTCTGCATCTTCCTGAACAACTCTAAAGCCTTTTGGGGCTTCTGGTTGACAACATAAGCCGAAATTAAGGTAGTCCAGGAAACAATATTCCTACTGGATATTTCATCAAACACGTGGTGTGCATCGAGAAGATTACCTGATACCGCGTAGAATTTAACAAGTACTGTCTGCAGGTGAATGATGGAGCGAAACCCATATTTTATTAGTTGCGTATGTAACTGTTTGCCTTCAAGTGAGAAAGGCTTTTTGGTGCAAGCTTTTAAGACAAAAAGGAAAGAGAAGCTGTCAATAGATGATGAACTGTGCCTTAGTAATTCTCTAAAGAATAGGATGGCTTTGGTGTAGCAATTGGAGTTGAGATATCTTTTAAGATTTTGGTTCGCTTTGGGTGGTTTAAGGTTCGTGTTGATATATGTTCTTGCAAATGACAGGTTTGTTTGGAATAAAGGAATCCTCTTAAGTACTTTCATCATCGAAAGCCACTTCCAGTTGTGTCTTGTTCAACTTTCGTCTTTCAAATGTTAGTTAAAGAAACCCTTCCCGCCAATCCATATCCATCCAACTCCAGAGCTCTATACAAACAGCTCGTTTCCCTTCTTCAGAACCGCAAGATCGTCAAAAAACTTTCCCAAATCCACACTCAGATCATCACTAATGGGTTTTCCCAGAAAAATTACATCCTAGCTCACCTTCTTTCATTATATGCTACTTCAAGTAATCTCCAACAGGCGTTTAAACTGTTTGGAACTATCGAAAAACCAAGTACTACAGTCTGGAACCAGATCATCAGAGGGTTTTCTAGGACTTCAATCCCTGAAAGATCATTTGAGTTGTACAAGAAGATGGTTGCAACGGGGGAGATTTCAGATGGGTTTACTTATTCATATGTTTTGAGTGCTTGCGCGAGGTCGGGGATGGTGAGAGAAGGGGAGCAGATTCACGGGAGAGTTTTGCTTCATGGGTATTGCTCCAATGTGTTTGTGAGAACAAATTTGATTAATTTGTATGCAGTTGCTGGCGGTGGTGATGACACTGGTTATGCACGTAAAGTGTTTGATGAAATGGGAGAGAGAAATGCGGTGAGTTGGAATTCGTTGTTGGCTGGCTATATTAGGTGTGGAAATCTTGATATGGCCAGTAGAGTTTTTGATGAGATGCCAGAGAAGAATGTGGTATCGTTTACGACGATGATTGCTGGGTTTGCTAAGAATGGGAAGTGTAGGCAAGCTCTTTGCTTTTTTAATCAGATGAGGAGAGCTCGTGTGGAACCGGATCAGGTAGCGTTAATGGCGGCATTATCGGCCTGTGCCGAATTGGGTGATTTGGAACTGGGGAAATGGATTCACTCATACATCGAAGAGACGGCTCTGTTTCGAAACCAGCGATTGTTGGTGTCTTTGAACAATTCACTCATACACATGTATGCTAGTTGTGGTTTGATTGAGGAAGCTTATGAAGTTCTCCGATACATACCGGAAAGAAGTACGGTTTCTTGGACAAATATGATCACGGGCTTAGCGAAGCACGGTTTCGCTCAAGAAGCTATTTCTCTATTTGAATGTATGATCAGCTTGGGGGAGAGGGGAGTCAAACCAGATGAAATAACCTACATAGGAGTTCTCTTTGCTTGTAGTCATGCCGGATTAGTCGAGGAGGGTCGGCATTATTTTACGCAAATGACTGGACATTGTGGAATTACGCCCAGGATTGAGCACTATTGCTGCATGGTTGATCTTCTCAGCCGTGCTGGTTTCTTGGATGAAGCATTGAATCTTATCGAAACCATACCCGTAAAACCAAACGATGCAGTATGGGGTGCCCTACTCGGCGGTTGTAGGATTCACAAGAATGTTGATCTTGCTTCTCGAGTAGCCCAAAAGTTTGATGTCGAGCTTGATCCCGACTATGCTGCGGGGTATCTCACGCTGTTGTCAAATGTATATGCTACCGGAAGGAGGTGGCACGACGTTGCTAATGTGAGGCAAAAAATGATTGAATCGGGAATGAAAAAGCCCGCAGGTCGGAGTTGGGTTCAAATTGATGGAGTTATCCATCATTTCCAGGCAAGCGACAGCAGCAGCAGGAAACACACATCTTCTATCTACGAAATCCTATGGCAAGTCACTAGACAGGCAAAGCACGAAGGCTACACGCCAGACCTATCCGAAGCGATGTAAGTTGTCGAGTAATATGTAAGGGCTCTGAGAATTCAGTGTTATTTAAGCACTTTAAAAAAATAAAAAATCAGTAAACCTCGATGCGATTCAAACTTTTTTTCAAAAAAAAAAAATTATTTGAGTTTATTAAAATCTATAATTTAAATATTGATTTTAAATCTAGTTTAAATTCTAAAAATTCAAACAATCGAAAAAATAAATATTAAAATTATGTTATTTTTTTGTCTTTAGCTTTAGATAAATAATTTGTTTATTTTGTAATTTGATATTTGATTTATTTGTTTCTTCAATTTCTATTTTATTTTGAATCATTTTTTATTAAATTGAACCACATTCTCATCAACCATTTTATAATACACATGTAATTTTAATTCATATTTTTTAATAATTTAATTCTATATTTTATTTAATTTAATCCTCCAAATGCTACTCCTTACGCATCATTTCTTCTCATATATTTCTAGACTCCTTTATATTGACATTTATACTTTATCTTTAAAATCTCTTTTAAAAAATAAAATTATATATATATATATATATATATATATATATATATTTAGATGATATTTAATTTATTAAATAATATTATAAATCTTCCTTACACATGTAAAAGAATATATATATATATATTACATACAATTATATGTATATCATACATGATTAGAAAAAATCTCTTAAACTGAAACCAATAATATAACAACATTATAAATAATTGATATTAAATTTGAACATAAAATATTCACTCATTTTACTATTATTTATGATAGGGATGGACTAAAAGTGGTGAGATGAGTCTTCTAAAAATTTAAAATTCTCATTTAATTTAGATAATATTTTTACATTTTTATTGATAATTTTTTTAAATTTTATAAATTCCCCTCTTCAATTTTATAAGTTGATTTCTTAAAATAAAATCTTGTGTTGGTTTATTTCCTGTGTAAATTACCAATTTCAAATGCATGATAATACAGTGTTGCAAAAGATGTAGGCATAACTAGCTAATGAAAACAGGGATGGCTTGCGGTAATGGTGATTGAATGTGCAAAGAATGATACCTTGTGTAGGTATGGCTTTTAACTTCCTGGGCGGGCTGTTTCTTAGATTAGACGTGTTCTTCCTACATGCACAGGAAACCCACATAACCAAGTAACCCAGAAAAGCATAAATCCTTGTCGTATAAAGTGTCGGTTAATCCATGCAATTGGCGCCTCCACCCCTCTAATTTCCCCTACTTCATTTTCAAGTTTTAACAACAACACAGAACAGAACAATTTGTTTTTCTCTTCCGAAATGGATCCAACCCCGACGTCCGATGGCCGAACCGAAATCTGCTTTTTCGATTTGGAAACCACCGTCCCTCAACGGCGTGGCCAAGGCTACGATATTCTCGAATTTGGTGCCATTTTAGTCTGCCCCAGAAGGCTCCTTGAGCTCGACAGCTACTCCTCCCTGGTCCGTCCCGAGGATCTCTCTTCTGTTTCCCCTTCCTCCCTGCGCTGCAACGGCATCACTCGGAACGATGTCGTTTCGGCGCCTCCCTTCTCCGAGATCGCCGACAAAGTTCACGACCTTCTTCATGGTGCACATCTCACATTCAAGTTTCCTTTTTTCTTTTCCGTCTTTTTTTTTCCTTCTCTTTTAAGTAAGGTTTTAAATGAATTCTGTAGGAAGGGTTTGGGCGGGGCATAATATAGTGAGGTTTGATTGCGTGAGAATAAGGGAGGCGTTCGAAAAGATCCATAGGTCAGCGCCGGAGCCTAAGGGAATTATTGATTCTTTGCCGTTGTTGACACAAAGGTTCGGAAGGAGAGCTGGTAATATGAAGGTATTTTTTCTTGGTTCATATTACAAACCTTTGCTTTGTTTTACCAATATTATGAAGAAAAATATATGGAGATCACTGCTTAATTATTTGATTTCCTAGCTTTGTGCTATTCTCTATGAAAGGCACTGTAAGCAAGGAATAATGACCGGACCGGCCTGTTAAACTGATGATCAGAGGTCCGGTCGGTTTGATTTCTGGTCCTTTTACAAAACACTTTGTAAGTTTGGGATTACTATGAAGTTTTGGTCGATAACATGTTTATGTTCTTCAATCTTGAATGCAGATGGCAACTCTTGCAAACTATTTCGAGATCGGAGTGCAGACACACAGGCAAATGAAAATAAACTCTTTTTTCACCTTTGGATGGAATTTATGTACCTTTGTAACGATCTTTCTGCTATATGATTATTCAGGAGCTTGGACGATGTTCGAATGAACCTCGAAGTTGTTAAGTACTGTGCTACAGTTTTGTTCCTGGTATGGTAGTTTCCGAGCGCCAAATGCAGTGGGATTTCTGTCATTTCTAATGATGAATTTAAGAGTTATATATTCCACCAACAGCCATGGGTTTTTTTGGTTGAGTTCTGTAGTTTAAAGTCGCAAATTTAATCGCCATATCTTTCTTGCCTTTACTTCAAACGTGTTAGATCATAGAGTTTTGATCGAATAGTGCTTTATGAATACGTTATCTGGATAAATTCTTTGTATGGAAGTGTAAAATTTAAGATCTTCCAGCAAATCTCATCCCCTGCATATACCCCAGCTCCTGCTTTCTACCATTGTCTGCTACTTCATTGAATAATGGCCTATTGTTTTCTCCCATTAAGTAAACCAAAGTTTTCGCTTGCGCTTATATTGTCATCACTGCTGATTGTATAGTCCTTGAATTGTGCAGATCCTCTTGTGTATAACCAAACTTCTTAAATATTCATATAGTGCAAGTTCTATGGGAGTTAGGAAAAACATTAACCGAGCTTTAAACTCAAAACAGACGTTTTCTGTGTTCTTATGATATGGAAACATACCATAATTGCTCTATGGGTGTAGAATTGCTTGTGTTTTCTTTGAATTGATGTGATTTTGAGTGGTCTTGGAATGTCTTGTGGCTCTGCAAGTTATCTATCCTTGAAATGGTTAAATTGAGCATATTTTGTGAGATTAATTATCTAAATTTTTACCAAAATCTTATATTTATCTACAGGAATCAAGTCTCCCGGATATATTGACGACGAATGGAACAGGTTCACCAATACCAACGAGAAGTAGCAGTAATACCAAGTCGTCTCCCGAGCAGCCTAACCCGAACATGAACAACTTTTCTTCAAGTTTAACTCCTGAAAATGTTTCAAATCCATCTCCAAGAAACAGTGAACATCATCCTATAATCTCTATTCTGACTCATCACACTGGAGAGGCAAATGCAGATGTGTCAAATCTGGTTCAACCGGATCCTTTCAACATGGGCGTACTCAGAAAAGAAATGAAAACCGAGGCCCTTCAATCAGATGTCATTATGAAAGAAAAAACTCAGCTCGAGTCTCAGGAGATAGATATTGCTGAAGGTAGTAGCAGTTGTGCAGAGTTCTTAGAAGCTAATGAAGTTTCTCCAAGCTCCATCAGTGCATCCCTCATCCCATATTACCATGGCACCCATCGAATAAGACTGTTTCATGAAAACATTGCTCTGCAACTGTTTTGTCCTTGTTTGAGAGTGCGATTTGGAGTCAATGGAAAGTTCCTTGGTCAAGCTGGCCGGCCACGTTTGAGCTTCGTAGTCGATGCTTCTCCGAGTTTACGTGAGATTCTAGATGCTTGTGACAATGCTGCAAAAACAATCTTTGAAGATTGTGGAAGCAGTTCTGAATGGAAGCCTATCGTGGGCAGGAATCACCGGTACATCAACAATCCAACCGTGAGACTGAAGTAAGTTCTCGTAGTGTTCCAAAAATAGAATTAGACAGCTTGAGACAAGCACTTGAATCTTGTAATAATTTTATTGATTCTTTGATTCCTTTCTGGCAGCATACCCACAATAGTCAATGATGGCATCGCCCGATATGCTGCGGAGATTCATCAGAAGGACAGCTCCGGTACCGTGCAAAAGCTTGTATTCAGCAAAATTGATGCTGCAGAGCTTGGTAACTTATTCAGACCTGGGATCTTTGTGGATTCATTCTTCAGCTTGGGCACTTATGATTATCAGGGGACGGCAGGCATTCGACTGGTGGTGAAAAAGCTGGTTATACTTTCGGATTAGTGGAGTTCAAAGGCAAAGATCAATCCATTGTTTACAGAAATGTAGTAGCATTGTTTATGTTATAGTCCAACTCATAGGTATGAATTGATCTCTCACATTCATTGCTTTGTACGAAAAGAAGAAATAAACAAAGATTGATTGATTTTCACTGCTGTAAATTTGTGCAATCTACCAAAGATACATACAGCATTTTTATATTTTATTTGCATAAATAATGTACATCGAGTTTTGATTAATTTAAATATATTTATTATAAGTGAAAATAATTCATCATTAAATATATGTTTAGAAAAATAGTAATATTCTTCTTGATTGATACTATCATTGTTGAATGATTTAAGCTTTTATATGCGAGATTAGGTCATATTTGGCAAGTGCAGAGATCAAATATACAAGCATATAAAACTAATTTAGCTTTACGCTAATGTTAATTCATTTTTATCTGAATACAATTAGAGCCGGCAAAGCAACCTTGAATTCAAGAGTTTGTATGTGTTGATTCGAATTTGAGAAAATTTGAACTCGAGAAAAATTTAAATATGAGAAAATTCATTTTTATTTAGCTCTTGCATACATCAAAAGGAACAAATAGATAAAACCTCAGGTAGTGGCTCTTAGCCTCTAAAATGACAAAAGTTCGATTCGATATTCGAGGAACTTTTGCACTTAAATGAGCAGTCTTTCGATTTTTCAAAAAACGAACCCGAGAAATAAAACCAAATATGAAACCTTGTATGGCTCTAGCATTACTGTTCACACAATGGCACAATTTCAGTATATAGAAGTTATGAACTGATAAAAAAAACATTGCAAGAATATAGCAAATGCATACCAGAGCCAGGAATGCGCTGTTCATCCCAACATAATGAGGTAGTAATAAAAGACACTAAATCTCACTCCGCTGTAGAACACGAGAACCTGAACAGTACATGATTCGATCAAAGTAAATGATAATAGCAAACTAAATATTCTAAAAGACTATGTGTCGGCAATTTATGCTTCCCTCTACGTTATTTCCCCTCTTTTTGCTGCTCAAGGAATAAAACATGAAAACAATAACTTTTCATTGAATTCATTAAGAAAATACCAAGTTGAAATGTAAGGCAACTGAAGTTGGCTTTTCACCTGAGGAAACTACATTACCTATATGACATGTTTAATACCTGTTCGGTCACTGGCTCTTTGATTTGGTTTTTCCATTCAATGAACGACGGATGTCGAGCTGATCAACAATCTCCAAAGGAGACGTTGTGTCGTCCCTGATCCTCTGAATGTTGGGGCCTAACAATCCCCTATGTCTAAACCCGTAAAGCTTAAGCACTTGGTTATCGGCAAAATTGAAAGCCCTTTGCATGCTGCGCAGGCACCTGTCAACAGAGTAATCTCCATAACTCCCACAGGGTTTGCAGCCAACGAAATGAGTCACAAATGGCCACCTCTCGTCTCCCAATCCCGGATGATATTTCTCCATCATCTCTTCATACTTATCAACCAACCCTGCCCAATAACCATGCAAATAATATTGATTTTCAATGAAAACTTTGTCCATCCATTGATCCTTTTGCGAAAGGAACAAGTAAATCAAAGCCGACTGATCATCGGCTTCGAATGCCGGCCTCCCTTTCAAATTTGCAGTCAAAACCTTCCCAGCCTCTTCACGAATCGGACCCTTAGGTCCCATTGGCGCCCATGCATCAAGCAAATCTAACGACCACTGACAATTTCTAAACAGAAAACTCCCTGTATTCAATGCAATCCATGACTTCTGCTCAAACAGTAAATCGGGGTAGCCATGAATAACCAAATTATACTTATCATACTTGGACAATGGAATCTCAAACACCATATCCGTAAAAAAAGCATCACTATCCATCCACCAAATCCACTCGAGTTCAGGATGAGACAACATTAACCTCCTAATCAATGGCAATTTCGCCCAATAACCGGCCAATTCCTTATCTAAATGAGCCATGTTATAAACAATTTCAATCCCATGAAGCCTGCAATAATCAATCTTATTCTTTATCGCTTTCAACAAATAATGGTCCCCGATAGGATTATCACAAGGTTTAGGGGGTGAACCAGTGACGAGCAAGATTCGAGCTTTCCCATTAACAAAATTAGGGAATTCAGGGTTTTCAGAAAGCCAAACCTTTCGCTGCTGATCCCAGTCCGAAATTTTAGGCCCGAGAGTGTATGTAACATTAGGATTGAACTCAGGTTCATCCGGGTCGGTAGGGTCGGAGTCGGAGCGGATTTCAGCAAGGATCCGGTTGGTTTCTTCGATCAGGTTTTGGTTGATGGCTTCCGCTTCTGAGCTCCCCAAATTCCCGACGCCGATTGTGCCGCGCAAGACGAGGATCGTAACCAAGCCGCATAGGATTGTGATCTTAATGTTGTTGAACCTCTTGTGCATCTGTCTCCCACGAGGCATTCCGGGAAATCCATGGTTCCTTCCGCCACCGGCTGCATCATAGTTATTTATCGGTAAACCTCCACCGCCGGCAGTTGAATATCTCTTTTGGCGAGTGAGATTATCTTGACCCATAAAGGTAATTCGCTAAGCTTGAAGAGATTCAAGTTTCTTCTTTAATATCTTATTATATAAAAATAATTAAATCTCCCTAAATGATACGCAGATAGCAATTGCCATTGGCATTAAGGCTTCAATTCTCTGTTATTTTTACAGTAAAATTTATTGAAGATTGAAAACTGATGAGAATTAAAAACCCTAGAAATAAGGAATGGTTGAAGGAAGCTGATGGAAAATTGGGGGAAGAACTGATCCAGAATGATAAATTGGTAGACTCGTCATGCTTATGCGTTTTTTCAATTTATCATTTAAATAGTTAATTATTTTGTAATAAAATTAGGGTAAAATACACGGGAGACCACTAAACTATGGTAAAAAATCAATTTGACCACCTAACTTTCAATTGAATCAATCAGACCACTCAACTATTTAATTGATTCAATCAAACCACCGGCCGTTAATTTTTAACAGAGGTGGTGACATGTCCGTTAATAAAATTGGCATAATTATATATTTGGTCTTTAATATTTACATATTCTATCAATTTAGTCACTATTTTAATTCAATTAAATAAATTTAATTATTCAATTAGAACGTGATACGTGTAAATACATGATAGGAAGATTTTATTTATTAATTTTAAATTATTTAATTAAATTATTTTTCTATCCAATTGAAATGAAAATAAAGGGACCAACATGCTTTTAATCAGAATCGAACCAATGTCAGGGGTTAATAAACCAATTACCCAAACCATTAGACCAAATGTCTCTAATGATTTAAACTTACAACAATTTGTATTTGAATTATAAAAGTTTGTTAATGATAAAAAATTAAACAAATTATTTGTTTAAATAAATTATTTGTCTTACAACAAATTATTTGTTTAAACAAATTATTATTTAAATTAATTGTAAATTGATTTTTTGAATTAAAAATATTCAATTGTTATATAATTTAGAAAATTTTAAAATTTTGGTTAATTCGAAAATTGACCGAACCAAAATTTTTCTTTAACCATTAATCGAACCGAAATTTATTTAAAAATTATTAAACGAATCGAACCAAACAAATTTCGGTTAATTCGGTCAATTTTTGAATTAACCGAAATTTGTTCGGTTCAGTTAATAATTATTAACCAAAATTTGTTTAAACAACCAAAATTTATTTAAAAATTATTAACCGAACCGAACAATTTCGGTAAATTCGGTCAATTTTTGAATTAACCAAAATTTCTTCGGTTCAATTAATAATTATTAACCGAAATTTGTTTAAACAACCAAATTTATTTGAAAATTATTAACCGAACCGAATTAACCAAATATTTTTCTTTAACCATTAATCGAACCGAAATTCGGTTAATTCGATTCGGTTAATAATTCGGTCAATTTTTGAATTAACAAAATAATTAAAATTTTTTAATTTATATAACAATTGAATATTTTTAATTCAAAAAATCAGTTTATAATTCATTTAAATAATAATTTATTTAAACAAATAATTTGTTTATTTTCTATCATTAACAAACTTTTACAAATCAAATACAAATTGTTATAAGTTTAAATTATTGGGGAACTTTGGCCCAATGGTTTTGGCGTTTGGTTTGTTAACCACAATGGTTTGATTCTCTTTAAAAGCATGTTGGTCCTTTTATTTTCATTTCAATTGTGCGGTGACACGTGTCAACACTTGATTGGATAGAAAAATCATTAATTAAATAATTTAAAATTCATAAATAAAACATTCCAATCATGAATTGACACGTGATACGTTCTAATTGGATAGTTAAATTTATTTAATTGAATTAAAATAGTGACTAAATTAAAAGAATATGTAAATATTAAGGACCAAATATATAATTATGCCAATTTTATTAACGGACACATCATCATCTCTGTTAAAAATTAACGGCCAGTGGTTTGATTGAATCAATTAAATAGTTGGATAGTCTAACTGATTCAATTAAAGTTAGGTGGTCAAATTGATTTTTACCATAGTTTAGTGGTCTCCCGTGTATTTTACCCTATTTTTTATTATTATCATTAAGTTTTATACAAAAATAATTACCTAAATAATGTCTTGGAAAACATTTTAATATCTAATTAATTTTTTTTATTAAAAATAGGTGTTTAAGTTTTTCTTAATTACACTTTTAGATGTCAATCGTTATATTTTTTTATTTTTTTAAATTTTTAATAATAAAAGATTGTTTAAAAAACTTATTTTATTAAAAAACCTCTAAACTTTTAATGAAATTATAAAAATAAATTATAAAAAACTAAAATATCTCATTTCAATCCTTATTACCAACTGTTGTCAGTCATCTCCAGCCACCATCGTCACCGAACACTTAAGTTTTGATTGAAATTGTACGATGGTTCAAATGGTGGTAGCGGTGTGGCTTATGAACGTCAGGATCGATCGAAATTGAAAAAGAATAGTGACGGTAACTTAAAATTTGACGAACATTTGAACATTTCTCCACAATAAACGATGACACTTTATGGCGAAAGGCTAACGGTAATTTGATCGGGGGTTAACGTCGGTACCAATGGAGGTGACGGTGAAAGTGTAACATCCCAAAATACGGGTTAGTGACTAAATTGTAAAATTTCAGAGTTTGGTGATTTAAGTAGGATATTTGTACAGTCCAATGATTTGTTCGGAAATATTTCCTGAAAGTTATTAGTAATTATCAAATGAATTAAAGGGCAAAATGGTCATTTAGCATGAAAGATATTTTTTATCTCTTTATTAAGAGATAAATGTGAGTTGGGGAAAGAGTTTCTGAAAACTCTTTCTTCTTCTTTTCTTCTTCTCCAACGTGCAGGGCAAAGGTAAGGTTTTCTAAATTGTTGGTTATTTGTTAAATTAAAGATTAGGTTTTGATCATTAGATGATAACTAAGCTTAAGGAAAGCTTAAGTTGTCTTATAATCAAAAGATGAAGAAGTTATAAGAGATTAAAGAAAATGAGTTTTTATATGAAATCATGGAAAAGAGTTGATAAGTTGAAATTTAAAGTTAAATTTGACTTGTCATCATCCTAATTAAGGAATATGAAGTGTTAGAATTGTATTTAGAACATATTGAAATTTGAGTATGATTCTTGAATTTCATATGAAGGATAGGATTTTGAAGTTATAGATGATTTTCATGGATATAAGTTGGTTTAAGTGATGGTAGTTGAATTTAATGACATGATAGGGGTTTAAAATAGAAGAATTAAGTGAAGAATTGATGATTTTCGGGGTTAAAATACCAATTCTGGTTAGAGGGAACCGATACCCTATGAAGGGAATCGATTCCCCCTCTTGGACGAAATTTTTCCAGAATGTCCAGGGGGTATCGATTCCCCTGGGGGGGGGGAATCGATTCCCCCCTAAAGGAAAAATGAAATTAGGTTCAATAATCTGGCTTAAGTTGTTAACATCAAGTTTAAGGTTTAGGCTTCTGATAGTTGTTTTGAAATGTTATATTTATGTAGATATTGAGCCTAAACAAGTTCTGGAATAATCAAAGGATTAGAATTGATTCAAATCAAACAAGGCTAAGGTGAGTGCAATTTTTATTGTACTTATATTATTGAATGAACATTGGCTTGCGATGAGCCAGTGATGGAGTTACTACGGTAAGAAGTGACTCCTAAATTGTTATTTGATTTCATGATTTTTATATGTGCATGAATACATGAAATGTGTATAGATTATTATAAATGTTACATGATATACATGCATACAGGATTATGCTATGAGACATGACCATGTGAAATGAGAAAAACTATGTGAATATATGAAATGACATATGAATATGCAAAATGTGATATGATATGAAATACATGGTTACACATACATGTGGTATGTGACAGAAGAGAAAGAACAAGTGATGAGAAATGTATTCATCATAAATGCCCATAGTATATGATACGAGAGCTATAGGTATAGTTGGCATGCCAAGAGTCGAGGGTTCTGTAGTCCTTCGGGACGTAGTCCTTCGGGACGTAGTCCTTCGGGACGTAGTGGTCCTACGGGACATATATAGCAGTCATTCGGGACGAATACTGAACTAATGTTCGGTGCCCCATGAGGGAATTTATACGAGCTGTGGTGACAGCATTTGTGCACAACCTCAATGAACTCACATACCTCTATTCTCAATAATATACATGGGCAATACAATTGAAAGATAAATTAAAGTGAAAGTGGCACAAGAAGGTAAGTGTTACATGTGCTTGACATGCTTATATATGTTATCATGTGATAGATACATGCATGTTGAAATGTCATGATCAAATGATAAGAATGCACATTCATGAATTTGTTGTTAAATGTTTATTTATTGCCTCACTAAGTCTATGACTTAGCGTGTAAGTGATTTACACGTAGGTACCAAGAAACGTGAAGAGAAAGAATAGAAGTAGCAAGGACAGTATTATTACTTGAAGATCAGATCAGAAGTAATCACAAGTATGTATTTTGGCGTGTATAGAGTGTTGGCATGTAATAAGTCGTTAATTATGAATACTCTGATTAAACTTGTATTTTGTGGTCTCTCTGATGTAAATTAAAGTATTTTGTTTTAAACAAAGTTTTAAATTACCCGGGGTATTTTCTTTAAGTGTCCAGATTTGAAAAGTCAATGTGACACCTCGGACTCGTATTCGGGTCGGGTACGGGTTGGGGTGTTACAGTTAATGGCATCAGAGCTAAGGTTTAGTCGATTCTCGGCATAAACCAGAGTCTTGAGTGTTTTATAAAGTATACATGCCAACAATATAGTGAAAACTTCTGATCTGATGGAATAGTAAGTATGTTGTTGTGCTAATAGAACTATATGATTGTATTTTTATAGATGTCCGGACAAGATAGTTCTAGAAATGAAGTGGGAGATGATATACCCGCTGAAAGCAGTAATTCACCTGCCCTGGCCAGGCAGAGTGAAGAACAGACACCCTCTGGAGTGCCTGTGAATGATCAAGATGTATTCTTTAGAACTTTAGACGCAGTATTGACGCGTTTTCAACCTCCTGTTACTTCAACTCCAAAAATGAATGTTGCGAAAGAGTTAAAGGGATTAGGAGCTCCAGAGTTTAGAGGGGAAGCCGATGAAGGTCCTATTACTGCGGACCTTTGGCTTAATGACGTG